TTCTAGAATACTTTGCATATTTTATTGCTTGTGTCACTGCATTGCACTGAGGTTTGATTGTGCTTAGGTTTGATTTCCCACCAGGTTTTGAGTTCTTTGAAGGCAGGGAGCATGCCTAATTTTTGTTTTTGTTTTCAGTAGCCAATACTTGTGCTTGCCTGGTGGCTCAGTGCTAAAGAATCTGCCTGCTGATGCAGGAGACTCAGGAGATGCCAGCTTGATCCCTGGGTTGACAAGAACCCCTGGAGAAGGAAATGGCAACCCACTCCAGTATTCTTGCCTAGGAAATTCCTTGAACAGAGGAGACTGGTGGGCTACAGTCCATGGGGTCTCGAAAGTGTCAGACATGACTTAGAGACTGAACAGCAAACCAGTACTTAACATGAGTTTGTTGAATAAATAGCAGGTAAATAACAGTCCTAGCTCCAGAACTGCTCACTATCATCTGAGCTTTCAGGTAGCTCACCGAATGCCTACCTTAGCCACTTTCCTTGAAACTATCATGCAGGGGTCCATGATGGGAAAGGATTTACAGCAGGCCCCAACTCCCCTTCCCACTTTACTGCTCTGCGCTGTCCCAGGCCAGCCAGGGAACTAATGACCCTGCTACCCTCTGACCAATATCTACTACCTTCTTTTTTGGGCTGGCCCTCCTGCTGCAGCTGGTAAGTGCCCCATGGATGGGGAGTGCCAGGGGTCCCTGGGTACAAGGCACATTAGTCAGGGAAGGGACCATATCTTATTTCCCTGCCATTCCAGGCACCAAAATTGTCTGTTACTTCACTAACTGGAGCCAGTACTGCTCTGAGGTTGCCTGCTACATGCCCGAGAATGTGGACCCTTGCCTCTGCACACACTTCATCTATGCTTTCGCTGGCATGACCAACTACCAGATCACAACCATCGAGTGGAATGATGAGACCCTCTGTGCTGGCATTAATGGACTCAAGCACTAGTGAGTTCTGTGCCTGGACTCTGGGCTAAGTTGGAAGTCTTTCAGAAGTCCTTAAAGATATCAGTATCAGAATGCCTAGTCTTTGAGTCCTGTTTGCAATCACCCTCATGCCTCACTGGCAGAGTTATTAACATCACTCTCTCCAGGGGAGGCAGGTTGTTGTCATTTGCCTAGATTATTTTCTTAGCAGACCCTCTGCATCATATTCTATGGGTCCCACGAGGTACTACCTACAAGGGATTCATTATGAATACGGTCCCCTGGAGTTTGCTGCATTGCAGTAAAGTCCCACACCACCCTATGAGCTAGCTACCAGTTTACCTTAAGATGGCTCTCATGCCAATTAAACACTTGGTATATTTATTGGGTGACTACCAATGAATTGGGTGAGCCAGGCCTTATGCTAAGTGCTTTTCATTTATTTTTTTTTTAATGTAACCCTCACAACAGATGCAAAGTTTTAACAGATATTTTAAATTGAAGACACTGTATCATAGAGAGGTTTTCCTTAGACCATACAATTAGTAAGTGGCAGAATCCAGGAATGCCTGACCAGTTTATCAGATAGGTTGATTGACACTTTGGTCCAGTTGGGAATCAGTGGGTAGGTTTTAAGGTCAAGCTCAAAGGACCTGGTGCCTGCTGGGAGTCACCATGGAATAGAGGAGTTATGTTTGAATCCTGCTCTGCCAGCCTTGGTAGCTGGGTGATGTGAAACAAACTGCTTAGCCTTTCTGAATATTACTTAGAGGGCAATGTGAGACTAATAGTTCCTGCTGATTGTAAGTGTGACAGGAGCAATGCATGTGACATGCCTGGCATTTGGTAAGCATTAAGTAAATTGTAGACACTTCTACTGCCCTTATTCCTTGCTCTTTCCTTTAAAAGACTCAGACTTTCAGCTTTCTGGTCTTGTGTATCCCAACAGCTCCAGCCTACCTACCATCTGTGTTAAGGGACTGCTTTTAGATTCTTTCATCCTCCCTAGGATGGCCTGCTTTGTCTTCGCCTGAAGCTTCCTGTCAAAGCAGAATCCATCAGCCCACTCTCAGGGCCAGGAAGAGGAAGCTGTTCAATGAGTATTAATACTGTGTCTGAGGTACCTATAGTAAGAGAGTGCATGCGTGCTAAGTCACTTTAGCTGTGTCCAACTCTTTGCATCCTGTGGACTCTTACTCACCAGGCTCCTCCGTCCATGGGATTCTCCAGGCAAGAATGTGAGAGTGGGTAACCATGCCTTCTGCCAGGAGATCTTCCCAACCCAGGGATCAAACCCACGTCTCCTGTGTCTTCTGCATTGCAGGTGGATTCTTTACTGCTCAGCCACTGGGGAAGCCCCAGTAAGAGGGTACCTTGCCCTTATAGAGAGCTTTGCTCCCAGCACAAGAGCATAGACTGGTAATAGGGCAGGCCTGGGGCTGCTCAGGTGTGGCATAAGAGGGTGGTCAGCAGATGACATCATTTTCCCTGGGGAATTGCACTTACACTGGAATCTTCCTATCTCCAACAATACAGAACTGAAAACCCTGATATCTGTTGGAGGCAGGAACTTTGGGACCCAGGGGTGAGACTTTGTATTCAAGGCAGAATCACCCCCAGATTACTCAGTCTCATTCAGACTTCAAGTGCTCTAAGATTCTCTGACATGGGTCATCTCTAGATTTCAGGTATCAGTTTAGATATCCCTTAATCTTCTCATCAGAGTCCTCTTTGAAGTCTTGCCCTCCTTGATCATAGCTCTTACCAGGCTGTAGTTTAGCTGACTGTCTACTTATCTATACCTTTCTCCAAAGAAGCTCCTCCAGGGCAGAAACTATTTTATTCATCACTATACCCCAGCACTATCAAACGTCAAATGAACACCTGAATAATTGAATATACATCTGGACAAATAAGAGGCTAAGTGACAAGACAGGATCCAAGAGCTTAGATCACTATTGCTTCTTCCTGTGTTCCATGTCCCCCATCCCCGGCCCCAAGTTCTCCATGGGAGAACTCTGCATTTGAGAAAGTCCGTGTCGAAGCCCCTCACTGCCAATAAGATCATAATGACTTGTTGACTTCAGATTCTCTGACATGGTGGCCACTGCTGAGAACCACCAGACCTTCATCCAGTCAGTCATACAGCTTTTGAGGAAGAACAACTTCGATAGGCTGGGTATTGATTGGGAGTATCCTGGCAACTGTGACAGCCCAACTGACACCAAGCAACTCTTCACTGTCCTGTTGAAGGTGACTTACTTTCTCTGTGTCCAAAGAATATAGGATCTAGGTGGGGGAGAAGACCTCTGCATGATGAGGAGTTCTGAATACAGCTGAAAGTGTGACTCTCAGCCTGCCTGGCTCAAAGCCTGATTTCTTTAGTGCAAGATCAGATCATGCTTTCAGGGAAAACTCATAGAGCCAAGTTACAGAGACTAGTGTAAGGCAGCACAGTGAAAGGTAATTTATTTATAATAAGAAACCTGCCAAAGAGTCTGAAACATTCATGTTCTAAGCATCGCTATGGAAGTCAAATAGTCCTCAAATAGGTCCTTCCCTGAGGGCAGTGTATAGGACAAGATGAGCCAGTTACAGACTGAGATGCTCAGTAGCCCCTCGCTTTGGTGAGTGGAGGCAGATGCCTCCAGTGGGTATTTCTGCCACCAGGAACAGACATAAAGTTGTTGGGCCAGAGTGTTTTCTCCCCTGGGCAGCTTGTTTGAGCACCAATGATTGCTTTGATACTCTTACTTCCTCATCTTTCATGAGTGATTTTTCCAATTGCTACATTTAATTACATGTAGTTTGTAGAGGTAGGAGCCATTTTTTTTTGTCCTATAGAAGCTTTTTAGTTTTGTTTTTATGCTCTGGACATTATTTATCCATTTTAGTTATTTATTTTTTAATAATTTTATTTATTTATTGGTTGTGCTGGGTCTTCCCAGCCCGTCCCAGGTTGCTGATTTCTGCTGCATGGACTTTTCTCTAGTTGCAGTGAGCAGGAGCTACTCTGCAGTTGCGGCGCACAGGCTTTTCATTGTGGTGGCTTCTCTTGTTGTTGAGCACAGGCATTAGGGCTGGGGCTCCAGTAGCTGTGGTTCCTGGGCTCTAGAGCACAGGCTCAGTGCTTGTTGCACATGGGCTTAGTTGCTTCATGGTGTGTGAGATCTTTCCAGACCAGGGATTGAACCTGTGTCTCCTGCTTTGGCAGGCGGATTCTTTACCTTTGAGTCACCAGGGAAGCCCTGGTTGTTTTAATATTTAAAAGGTTTCTTTTACATAGATGGACTCTTAGAAGGTCACCAATTTTCTCTCAATACAAGGTTTTTTTGAAGAAAAACTCATTATTGTTCCCAAAGACCAACAATACTTTCTGAAGCAAAGAACTCTAAGCTGAATACTTTGTAGCTTCCCTTATGAGCATCATGACCTTGTAAGATGCTTATTGGTCCTTGCAGCTTCAGTCCAGTGTCCTCTGTTCAATAGGAAATGTATGAGGCTTTTGAGCACGAAGTCACCCAGGGCAACAAACCCAGGTTGCTGATTTCTGCTGCTGTCTCAGCTGGCAAAGGTTCCCTTGAGACTGCCTACCAGATCCCTGAAATGTCAAAGCAAGTAACCCCCAGGCCTGTGGGCCCAAGTTCAGAGCTAATTAACCCTGAGACCTCCCCCATACATTGGCTAATGCTCAGATACCCTGGAGAGAGAAGGCTCTGTCCCAGAAGAATAAGATGATCTCAAAGCCTGAGAGAGACATGGGAAGCCAGTCAAAATTCTTAATGACAAAAGGCTACTTGGAAAAGTTAGTTGAGTTTCAAACTTCTATAAGACCTGAAGGTCTGAGTGCAACAAGTTATTGATTATAGACTGTGTGCCTTCTATATATCAACTTTTCAAATAAAGGTGAGACAGAATGGAGTAAAGAATACTAAAGCATAATCCTTCATGACATGATTACAAACCATATTCAGTAGGGACTAGGACCTTTAGGGGAAGTGGGATGGAGAGTATTATTTTCCTTAGGTCACTTTCTTCTCTTGTATCCTACCCCCCACTACCCAAGGTACATGGACCTCATCAATGTGATGATCTATGACCTTAGGGACTCCTGGGATGGTTTCACAGGAGAGGACAGCCCCTTGTTTTCAGGACCCAACGACAAGGGAGACTACAAATACTTCAGTGTGGTAAGTGAGGATTTGGGCCAGTCAGCTCTGATGGATATTTTCAACCAAGTCTTGAGATCTCTGGCCAAGGAGTAAAAGGAAGGCTGAGGAAGCTTGATGGACAAGATGAAGATGATGAACTTTCTTAACTCAGTTCATGTTGCTTATTTCCTTGTGCCTATGATTAATTGTACTCATTTATTTTTTACACCAAAGGAAACAAAATTGTGGTTTGGGATAATCCCAAACATTATATAACTATCATTTTCATTGATATTAGGAACATATTTCATGATCTATCTTGCCCTTAATCTTCCTCACTTTTCATCCACTTTCTCCCTATAAGATTGATCTTCCTAACCTGTATGGCATAGGCAGCTATATAATAAATCTTCTTAATGATTAGTAGATGTATAAATTGATTAGATGTGATTTCAGTGCAGAATTCAACCAGAGATTTTAAAATTGGCATGGGAAAGTCTCCCAGGGGAATAACCTATGCTTAAACAATTCTGAGATGCCATATTTTGCCAGTTGGGGAAATGAGAGGATGCATGACTGAACTCGTTACATCCTGAATGCCAAGTCTAGTAGAGGGGAAGAATGATAATGGAACATTTCATTCCTAATTGACACTGAGCCCTGCTACCTACATAACGTACATCTTAACAAGGGTGCCTATAACACCCAGTTCCAGAAGGGAGGATACGCCTTTCCTTTCTATGAGGCTGGGTTATGGAAGAGTCTTGACTGCAGGCTATGTCTAAAGTGGTTGGGAAACTGGGTAGAAAATGTTGACTATTCCACAGGCCTCTGGGCACAAGCTCAGCTGCTTCTTAGTAAACATCTTCCTTACCTTTCCTCTAGGATTATGCAATGAACTACTGGAAAAACCAAGATGCCCTGCTGAGAAACTGATGGTGGGCTTTGGGGTTTATGCCAGTGCCTTCACTCTCACCAACCCTACCACCGTGGCCTGGATGCTCCCACCTCTGGCCCAGGGGCTGCCAGAGCCTACACTCAGGAGGCAGAGAGTCTTGCCTACTTTGAGGTAATGTCCCAGAGGGCTGGGAAGACCAAGGAGATTGACTCTCTGTTCTAAACGGTCAAAAATACTTCCAAAAAAAGAAGTTATTCTTTGATTTCTAATCAGGGTACCCCATGTTGCCTGCTCTGAGTGTGTGTGGTGGGGAGGGAAGGGTAAACTATAAATAAAATACCTTACATTTTAATAATTTAGAGTAAATATGCATGATTAATACTAGTAATGGTTAACATTTACCAAGTCCAAATGGATAGCCAGCTCTGTTGTCAGTGATTTTTATATATTATCCTATTTAACACTCAACAATGGTTAGATGGATTTTATCATCCTACACAGACTGACAGGGAGGCACAGAGGGATTAAGAAACCTGGATCAAGGTCACAGAACCTAACTGGCCGAGCTAAGATTCAAACTAAGGTTGTCCAGCTCCAGCATCTCAGACCCTAACCATTATGGATTAGCATCCCCTTGTTGGCTCTTTTGTGACAAACATTCTTTCAAATAAAGGAACAAACAAGCTAGTTTCAAAGGGAAACTGGGGCACAAGGCACAAAGAAGCTGCTCTGCTCCTTATGCACAGATGGGTGTTGGCATATCCAGGAATGGCAGGAATTCAGGTCTCCTCTTCCCAGCCAGTGCCCTTTCCACGGTGCCACCCACAAGAGGAAGAGCAAGGAGCCTGGGTGAAATGGGAGCCATGAGCTCTGATTTCCAGTAAAGAGGGGTGGGGTGGGAGTGTATTCCAGAAAAGAAAGAGAGGGAGAGGGAGACTTGAGGCAGACAGAGCCAGGTCCATCTGAGCTGTGATTGCTCCTCTTGCCCCAGGTTTGTTTCCTCCTGAAAGGAGCCACTGAAGTATGGAATGCCCCCCAGGAGGTGCCCTGTGCCTACAGGGGAATCAGTACATTGGATATGCCAACCCCAAGAGCTTCATGATCAAGGTAAGTCCCTTCAAACCCTACCTTCTGTACACCTGGGAGAGGCAGAGAACCTCCCCTCCAAGTACATTGGAATTAGCACAAGAAAATACCAAAGAGAGGAAAAGCAAAACCCAAGGTGGCCCCGAGGTCTCGAGGGAGCCAGTGATCCAGCTGCAGAGCCCGGCAGTTGGAACAGCCCCTCTGCTCCTCAGCAATTTCAGGGCTTCCTCCCTCCCCTCAGCCCCTCCCCCTTCCCGTGCCCAGCCCCCATGCCCCTTCCTGGACTCTCCCCTTTGACCCCCTGCCCTCCTCAACTCTTTGACTCTGCTCCTGATCCAGCTCTCTGACACTCTTCCTGCCCCAGGACCACAGTGTAGATCCGAGTTCCTTCCTCTCCTCTGCCCCTGCTTACAGTAACTTTATGCAGGAAGAACCCAAAATCTGGAGATGAGAGATCCATGGGGCCATTGGGCATCTGCCCACTGACCTTTACATGCTCACATCTGGATGGTTACTGTTTATCAGCCCCAAAGCCCTTCACTCGATACCTCATAATCACCAGCTCTGTCTCTCTGCCCAGACACTTGTCACGTGAAGGGCCCTGTGTATCTTTTGCCACTGCAACCCACTCAAGCTCCAGCTCAGATAGGCCTTCGCAGAAGGTGGCTGGTGATACAGAGAGCAGGCGTGAGACTCATTCTCCCTGACTTGGTAGCCCTAAAATCTCTCCTTGTCCACAGCTATGTCCATGAGTCCTTCAAAGTGCCTGTGGAAAGCCATTCTCCATTCCCTCCTCTCCATGACTGGATCATGGTCTTCCCTGTCATTCTGCTGGAGTCATTCCCTGCACTTGTGCAAAGGCCACCTTGCTGCTGCTGCTGCTAAGTCACTTCAGTCGTGTCCAACTCTGTGTGATCCCATAGACGGCAGCCCACTGGGTTCCCCCGTCCCTGGGATTCTCCAGGCAAGAACACTGGAGTGGGTTGCCATTTTCTTCTCCAATGCATGAAAGTGAAAAGTGAAAGTGAAGTTGCTCAGTCATGTCTAACTCTTAGCAACCTCATAGACTGCAGCCCACCAGGCTCCTCTGTCCATGGGATTTTCCAGGCAAGAGTTCTGGAGTAGGGTGCCAGTGCCTTCTCCAAAAGGCCGCCCTACAGTCCCCTGATTCTCTCCCACTGGACATGGTTAAGGAGGAATAAAAGACTATCCAGTGCTCCCCTCAGCCTGGCCTCAAAGGAAGCCCCCTTCAGATCTTCCACCTGTCCTAGCACGTCCATGGGCACTGGCGTTTGTGACTCAGAAAGAAAAACTCAGATGGCTGCTATGGGGTAGCCCTTGGGTGGCTGCCCTCATGAAAGGTCCATCACTGTTCCCAAGTGTTCTTCTTGTAGAGCTGTTCTGGGAGCCCCTTGGAGAACATCTGGGAGCCTGGGTAGGGAGGGGACCACAAACACCTTGTTTCTGTTCTCATCTGTCCAGCTCCAGCCTTTAGGAACTATGTGGAATAAAGAAGACAAACCAAGGAAGGGATGCCAAAGTTAGATGATGAGGAAAGGGACGAAAAAAAGAGAACTCTGAAGGGGTCCAACTGGCCCTTTTTCTGAAGTGAGGAGCAGAGTTACAATTGGTCTCAGGATACAATTTTGCCCCTAACATAAAGACCAGGGCACATGCAGAAAGCAGAAGGGAGGGGCCAGGAAACCATGGGGACAGCCAGTGCTGCCTGATGGACCATGTCAAGTCTGCCGGTTCTTTCAACTTTCAAGTTATCCTCACAGGTGCTCTTGGAGACCAGGCGTAATTAGTCTATTTAAACTTAAAAACTAGGGAGGTATTGTCAAAGGGTGCATGTTTTAGTTATACAATATGGATAAATCCTGGAGATCTATTGTAGAACACAGTAACTATTGTTAACAATGCTTTATTGTATACTTTACAATTTGCTAAAAGGGTAGATCTTATGATACATGCTCTTATTGCAGAAGTTAATAATAAAGAGGGTGAGAGGAGACTTTTGGTGGGGTGAACATGTTTATGGCATTGATTGTGGTAAACATGATGTGTACTTACCTCCATCTCATCAAGTTGTATGCATTGACAGTTTTTTATATGTCAGTCATACCTAATAAAGTTGTTTAAAAGGAAAGATATTAGTGTAGTTGGCATTGCACAGACTCTGTACTCAAGACAGAACTCATTCTGAATCTCAGTTCCCACCTACAACATGAATAAAACGATTTTAAAATTCCTCCACTCTGTAGGATTTTGGTGGGGAGGTATGGACTTCCCAGGTGGTGCTAGTGGTTAAGAACCTACCTGCCAATGCAGGAGGTATGAGAGACCCACGTTAGATCCCTGGGTCAGGAAGATCCCCTGGAGGAGAGCATGGCAAACCACTCCAGTATTCTTGCCTGGAGAATCCCCATGAACAGAGGAGCCAGGCAGACTACAGTCCACAGGGTAGCAAGAGTCAGACATGGCTGAAGCAACTTAGCACACATGGAACATAGTATTTGGGCAAGCATTTAAGGGATGGAGGTGATAAATAAGCATTATTTCCCCCTTAAACATAAACTAAAAACAAAACTAACCATTGTGCAGCACTTACTATTTTACATACCATACACACTGGGAAATGCTTCACAGAGTAATTCTCAGATTAGTGTCTCTAATACAAGTAAAGGGAGGAATTGAGGCTCAGAGAAGTTAATGACTTGTTTGTGGTCACTGAGCTCATGGCAGAGCTGGGCTATGGACTCGGGTATCACTGATTCAGGCCCGGAGCATTTAACCACTGGTTCAGATAACATGAGGAACCCCTGGTGACACTACAGACACAACACTTGTGCTGGGAAAGGAGACCACCCTAGAACCTATGGGTTCCTTTACTTACTCTCTCAGGTTGCAGGGTGTCCCCCTCTGCTGTGGGCTCCTCCACAAACACTGAAGCTCGCAAGGCTGGCAGCACTGACGACAGTGGATTCTGTGCCAAAAAGTCTGGCAGTCTCTATCCCAGCCCCACCAGCAAGCATGCCTTCTACAACTGCGTGGA